CCACAGTTCATGACTGCAAAGTAGGTAAGAAAAAGCTGTCTTCATGAAATGTTCTGGCTTGTACTAGGACACGATTGCAGAGAGCCAGTGGTGCTTGGCCTGCATGTCTGCTTATACTGGAAATGTTTTTGAGGCCTCATTATAGCCATAAAATTCTTCATTGACATTCTCTTTGATCATTTTCATCTTCTTTGTACTAGCCAGACTCAAAAAAGTCTCTATGACTTGTCTAAGATTAATTAAAAAGAGTTCCAAGTTCACTGGAGAAGGCAGGGTAAGGAAAATATCACTGTTTATGAGTATATTTGTAATTGCCTGGAGAGTAATGTTTTAATCCTATCAGAATGTTGTAGGTATTCAACTTATTTCTAGATAAAATGGACTATATCATTTTTCTTGAAACCAAGTGGTTCCTTGGGACTGACCCCAGTGGGTCAGGTGTTACAAAATAGACTACTGTATAAACCAGCTATAGATTTCAAATAATAAAAATACATATTCCCCATTACAATGACCACACTTTCAGACTGAAACCCTGTAGAAGGTAGAGAGCACCTTTTCCAAGGCCAATGTTTTTCTTAAGTGCCCTGGAATAGTGGGGTGTGTTTAATGCATCTGCTTTTTATATATAGCTGATTAAATTGTATTTTCCAAACAACTAAATAGGTAAGTGAAAGAGGACCTACTCCCTTCAAAATAAGTTTGTGGAAATAACCATCTAATTATCTTCATTTGTAGTAAGAGAATTTCCTTTAACTGGATCTTCCATCCATTTGAAAACATGGTCGATTCCTGCCCCCAAGTTGGAGTGCACTGGGCTACTCAGCTGTGCTGCTTACACACTCAAAATGCCTTCCCCGAAATGTTTTATAGTTTCAAAATGGTTTCTCAGCAAGAAAAGAGAGCGACCAACATAATGAAAAGATGAAATACCCATGAAAACTACAGGACATGTGAAAAACTCTTAAATATCCCTTAGAAGGATGCCCTCTGTCTGAATAAAATACCTTCTGTCGTGATGAAAGGGCACAGTTGCTCAGTCTAGTTACTCCCAGAGGTAGGCTGAACAGTAAGGGTTGGACATATTTCGCAGGGGAATCTGACAAAATGCAGGCAGAACCTCACCCCTGCATTAAGAAAATATGTTTTTCTAAATCCATGCTTTTATCTGGATTCTTAAAGAATCTGATGGACCTGCTGGGCATGGTGTCAATTCTTGTCTCAGTTAGAAATGGATTCAGTGTGAATGTGGATACAACCCTGCAGTGTTGGAAACCGTGTTTCTTTCCTCTGGCTGGGTCAGATACAAGAGGACAGCTTGTCAGTGGATGACTTAGCGCACACAGAGAACAGGCTGTACGGCTGCAGCCACTTCCACGGACAAGACAGCCACTGTGCCATGGCGGGCTAACACCCGCACCGCTGTGGGCCTGTGCAGGGCTGACCTGAGCCCTGGATGCATGGAGTGTGCATTCATTTGTGTGGCCAAGTGTTTGTACAAACTTTTAACTTTACCCTTAGTAATGTGCTTGGCATAAATTCCCACAAGTAGGATAACTGTGTCAAGGCATAGACAGCTTTAAGGTTTCAGAAACTGCTCTCTGGAAGTTATACTCATTTTAAAAAAGTACACAGGACTGGTTCCTCTGTACTCTTATCAACATGAATTCTACTTTTTTCACCTTTGCCACTGTGATAGATGAAAAGCTGAATCTCATTATTTTCTGTGCTACATTATTGGGATTAATCTCAGTATCTCTCAAAAACGTCTTCAGTGAGTTAAGTTTTTTAATCCTCACCACACTTCTACGGGAGAAGGAAGACTGGAAAACTTAACTTGTCCAAATTCATTGCACTAGCTAATGATCCTTGTGAAACTCAGGCCTAGCTCACCCACATTTTTTAATTGATTCACGTTATGCTGGGTATAACATAATTGCAGCACACATGAAATCGGAGGCTAGGGATTCTAGTCTGGTGGTCTTAGGGATAGAGGAGGGAGGAGAGAGCTGCTGTTTAAGCAGAAACTACATGCCACGATGGCCTTTTTAACACTCCCAGAGTTCTGTCATTTTCTCCCCACTTTCTTCCCCCAGGTTTGCAAAAATTGTTTTTGTTGGAAACAAAACACAGGAAAATGCTCTTAAGTGAGATAAATAAAAGTTTTGAAAATATTATTCTGATTTTGTTAGAAGAGACTAAATATATGCATGTATATGTATAAATAAAGGTAACCAAAAGAAAATGCAACAAATGTTAATGGTGGTTTTGCTACATGGTTTTAGTTTTCTGTATATTTTTCTGTATTTTCCAGTTTTTCTATAGTAAACGTACTTTAATAATTAGGACAAACAATATATATCATAAATAATAACTGAATATCAAATTTCTCTGTATGTGTGGAACTTCTGCCAACACCCATCAGCTGGTGGTAGCAGCCCAGAGCACATTTTCAAGAGGATTCTGAGGCTGAACCCTCACCCCTCACTCCCCAGAAGACAGCACTGGGATCCCGGAGCCCTATCTAGCCTGGATAAGGGCCTATGGAGTGCCATGGATCATCAGGCTATTAGCATTCTGGAAACAGACTCTCAGGGCTACACAGGGACTCAGAGGTCATCTGGTTGAAATCTCTTATCAACTGACTTGGAGACTGAGATCCAGAGATATGAAGCAACTTACTTAAGGTTCTAAAGGCAAAGCCTGGACTACAGCCTAGAGAAGACCCTGCCTTCAGTGGATTCATTCACGCTCACATGGGCCTCACAGCCACAGTGACCATACAAGAGTTCATCGATCCTGGCCTCCCAGAACTCAGTTCTCCCCATCAGCTTATCATTCCTTCAGTACTACTGCCCCAAACACCTGGTCTCCTACACTCTCTTAGGTACAAACCTTCTTACATGGAGAATAGAAACTAAAATCCCACGGCTTGGAGGAGTGACTGATTTGCTCACTAGATGGCAGTACCAACAAGGGCTAGACTATAAACAGGCATCTGATGTGTGGTTAATCTCAACTGTCAGAAAGGAAAGCCCTTCATGGAATATTTTGCCGACATATTTGTATGAAGGCACTAAAATCTACAAAGTAGATTAATGAAATATTAGAAGGAAATATACCAAAATATTAAAAGTTGTTTTCAATAAAGTGTATATTTTAAGTCATTTTCCTTTTTTATTTGCATCAACAAACAAAAAATTTTTCAAAAAGAAGTTATTAAAAAAGTAACAGATTATTTCAGTATAATGTACTGAAGACATTCACAAAAGCATACTGAAATGTGATAATCTACATTTCTGTCTTATATGTCATACAAGTTATGCAAATATAGAAAATGAAATTAAAAATGACAGAATCCTGTAAGGCTTCAGCATTGTGGATGTATTTAAAAATCTTATTAGCCTTATTTAAAAAAACAAAAAAATTAAAAGATTTAGTTAAACTGGAGGAATAACACTGAATTACTAGCATGTACAACTGTTTCAGTATGACATAGTATTTTCTTCACATTGACTTGCATAGCGTGAACAGGACTGACATGAACATGTAGGGGTTATCCTAATTCATCTCAAAATAACCTGCAATTTGACCCTTAGGGCATTCATTTCCTTAACACAGGTGTTAAAATTTCCTAACTAACTTACTACTTAATTAACTTACTTATTTAACTTAAATGTATTGGTATCTCTGGAGTATGTATGAATGTATGAATGAAAGCAGTAGGTGTTCCTGACTAGAAATAATCAGCCCAAATGTCAGGATTGTTTTTTTTTCCCTTTTGGCCAAATTCTTCATTTTAGCTCTCTTCTTTAAGATGGTTCCTTAACAACTCTTCAAACACAACCTTAATTTTGAGCCAAGAAAATGAGTCTCTTTGTGGAGAGCCTGCCTTAAGTCCTTACCTGGTTTTACAGGATCAGCTTGATTCTCTGGTGCCCCGAAGGCAGAATGATTCCTCTTTTCTGTGGGTGATGACACAGGTGGCTGGTCTGGGGCAGTGGCTTTCTGGGACTTCTCCGCTAAGGAGCCCCCTGCTGTGTCTTTGCTCTGTCCTGTGGTTCTAGGCTGGGCAGTTGCTGTGTGAGTCACCTTCTTCTGGTCAAGGCTCACTGAAGTGAGGAAGAGCTCCTGTTAGTTGTCGGGCTTCTTTTCTGAACTGTAATTAAAACCACTAAATCTGCAGTAGATTTAAAGTCATGGATGTTTGGGAATAAATACCTATGCATCTAAAATATGTCAGAGCCCCATAAAAACTCCTCTCATTTTCAAACAGGTAACTTGTTCTAATAATTGCTCAATGTCACACATCAATGGATGGAGACAAAACTGGAACTTAAGGTTTCAAGATTCTTCATCCTTTAAACCAGTTCTTCATTAAATTTCCTGCAGCTTTTCTTCTTTCTTGTGATGCATTTTTATGTATATGACAACACAAGGCTAGTTGACAGCTCTGACTTAGCCACACCCTAGTATGTCATAAGATTTCTAAAACCTTTATCGGAACAAAATGTCAATTCACTTCAGTTTTTAAAAAGCATATGCTATACAGCATTTTTAGGATGGGGAAGAATCTTTTAGAAAATTAAAAGCAATTTCTGAAAAATGTAAGCAATGTCAAAAACTTGACATTTGTAACTCAGACTGGAGACTCTAGGAAACACTCATTTAATTTAAGACATAGCTTCACATAAAGTTACACCTGAAACTGGGCAGAAAAAGAGCAATACTGAGTCTGCATTTTATCATGAGAATACAAACATCCCTACTACTCCCTTGCTGAAAATGCCACACAGCCGACTCACAATTTTGACAGAAAGCTTCGTCCGACCCATCAGGACACTGCTCCATTCCATCGCAGGCCAGTGTGATGTCAATGCAACAGCCATCATCACAGAAGAAGTGGTAGCGTGAGCAAGTGTTGAGGCATCCTGTTTATAAACAAGTCTCAAGTTACCAGTGTGCAGGAAAGTGAAGACTCCCACTGTACTAAGATAACAAAGACTAAATGCATGATGAAATGCTTTAGGGTAGAAATAAAGATGATAAGGAAACACCTAACAATCTGAGCTGAAATAGCAGGTTCTGGAAAAGTGAAGGGTCTCTTCTGGACCCCTCTGCCTTAATTTTCAGGAATCACTATGGGCTCTTCATCTTAGGAGCATTCTCCAAGCTGACACTGCCTAAGAGGGTGGAACGCAGAAGGAACAGCTCTGGGTTCTCTATCCATACCTGGGTTCCTTCTCTTTGTTGCCTGGTTCATCCCAGCCTCTCCTCAGTCGGCCACCTAACACTGCTCCACCCCTTGCAGGGCCCCTGGCTGGTTGACTGTTTTTTATAAGAGACACTATTTCAGGCATACTAGCTATGTTTTAGATTCTTGTTCCCTAAGTAATAATTTTTACTGAGATTAACCTTCTACAGTGGAGCTGAACCCTCACCCCTCACTCCCCAGAAGACAGCACTGGGATCCCGGAGCCCTATCTAGCCTGGATAAGGGCCTATGGAGTGCCATGGATCATCAGGCTATTAGCATTCTGGAAACAGACTCTCAGGGCTACACAGGGACTCAGAGGTCATCTGGTTGAAATCTCTTATCAACTGACTTGGAGACTGAGATCCAGAGATATGAAGCAACTTACTTAAGGTTCTAAAGGCAAAGCCTGGACTACAGCCTAGAGAAGACCCTGCCTTCAGTGGATTCATTCACGCTCACATGGGCCTCACAGCCACAGTGACCATACAAGAGTTCATCGATCCTGGCCTCCCAGAACTCAGTTCTCCCCATCAGCTTATCATTCCTTCAGTACTACTGCCCCAAACACCTGGTCTCCTACACTCTCTTAGGTACAAACCTTCTTACATGGAGAATAGAAACTAAAATCCCACGGCTTGGAGGAGTGACTGATTTGCTCACTAGATGGCAGTACCAACAAGGGCTAGACTATAAACAGGCATCTGATGTGTGGTTAATCTCAACTGTCAGAAAGGAAAGCCCTTCATGGAATATTTTGCCGACATATTTATATGAAGGCACTAAAATCTACAAAGTAGATTAATGAAATATTGGAAGGAAATATACCAAAATATTAAAAGTTGTTTTCAATAAAGTGTATATTTTAAGTCATTTTCCTTTTTTATTTGCATCAACAAACAAAAAATTTTTCAAAAAGAAGTTATTAAAAAAGTAACAGATTATTTCAGTATAATGTACTGAAGACATTCACAAAAGCATACTGAAATGTGATAATCTACATTTCTGTCTTATATGTCATACAAGTTATGCAAATATAGAAAATGAAATTAAAAATGACAGAATCCTGTAAGGCTTCAGCATTGTGGATGTATTTAAAAATCTTATTAGCCTTATTTAAAAAAACAAAAAAATTAAAAGATTTAGTTAAACTGGAGGAATAACACTGAATTACTAGCATGTACAACTGTTTCAGTATGACATAGTATTTTCTTCACATTGACTTGCATAGCGTGAACAGGACTGACATGAACATGTAGGGGTTATCCTAATTCATCTCAAAATAACCTGCAATTTGACCCTTAGGGCATTCATTTCCTTAACACAGGTGTTAAAATTTCCTAACTAACTTACTACTTAATTAACTTACTTATTTAACTTAAATGTATTGGTATCTCTGGAGTATGTATGAATGTATGAATGAAAGCAGTAGGTGTTCCTGACTAGAAATAATCAGCCCAAATGTCAGGATTGTTTTTTTTTCCCTTTTGGCCAAATTCTTCATTTTAGCTCTCTTCTTTAAGATGGTTCCTTAACAACTCTTCAAACACAACCTTAATTTTGAGCCAAGAAAATGAGTCTCTTTGTGGAGAGCCTGCCTTAAGTCCTTACCTGGTTTTACAGGATCAGCTTGATTCTCTGGTGCCCCGAAGGCAGAATGATTCCTCTTTTCTGTGGGTGATGACACAGGTGGCTGGTCTGGGGCAGTGGCTTTCTGGGACTTCTCCGCTAAGGAGCCCCCTGCTGTGTCTTTGCTCTGTCCTGTGGTTCTAGGCTGGGCAGTTGCTGTGTGAGTCACCTTCTTCTGGTCAAGGCTCACTGAAGTGAGGAAGAGCTCCTGTTAGTTGTCGGGCTTCTTTTCTGAACTGTAATTAAAACCACTAAATCTGCAGTAGATTTAAAGTCATGGATGTTTGGGAATAAATACCTATGCATCTAAAATATGTCAGAGCCCCATAAAAACTCCTCTCATTTTCAAACAGGTAACTTGTTCTAATAATTGCTCAATGTCACACATCAATGGATGGAGACAAAACTGGAACTTAAGGTTTCAAGATTCTTCATCCTTTAAACCAGTTCTTCATTAAATTTCCTGCAGCTTTTCTTCTTTCTTGTGATGCATTTTTATGTATATGACAACACAAGGCTAGTTGACAGCTCTGACTTAGCCACACCCTAGTATGTCATAAGATTGCTAAAACCTTTATCGGAACAAAATGTCAATTCACTTCAGTTTTTAAAAAGCATATGCTATACAGCATTTTTAGGATGGGGAAGAATCTTTTAGAAAATTAAAAGCAATTTCTGAAAAATGTAAGCAATGTCAAAAACTTGACATTTGTAACTCAGACTGGAGACTCTAGGAAACACTCATTTAATTTAAGACATAGCTTCACATAAAGTTACACCTGAAACTGGGCAGAAAAAGAGCAATACTGAGTCTGCATTTTATCATGAGAATACAAACATCCCTACTACTCCCTTGCTGAAAATGCCACACAGCCGACTCACAATTTTGACAGAAAGCTTCGTCCGACCCATCAGGACACTGCTCCATTCCATCGCAGGCCAGTGTGATGTCAATGCAACAGCCATCATCACAGAAGAAGTGGTAGCGTGAGCAAGTGTTGAGGCATCCTGTTTATAAACAAGTCTCAAGTTACCAGTGTGCAGGAAAGTGAAGACTCCCACTGTACTAAGATAACAAAGACTAAATGCATGATGAAATGCTTTAGGGTAGAAATAAAGATGATAAGGAAACACCTAACAATCTGAGCTGAAATAGCAGGTTCTGGAAAAGTGAAGGGTCTCTTCTGGACCCCTCTGCCTTAATTTTCAGGAATCACTATGGGCTCTTCATCTTAGGAGCATTCTCCAAGCTGACACTGCCTAAGAGGGTGGAACGCAGAAGGAACAGCTCTGGGTTCTCTATCCATACCTGGGTTCCTTCTCTTTGTTGCCTGGTTCATCCCAGCCTCTCCTCAGTCGGCCACCTAACACTGCTCCACCCCTTGCAGGGCCCCTGGCTGGTTGACTGTTTTTTATAAGAGACACTATTTCAGGCATACTAGCTATGTTTTAGATTCTTGTTCCCTAAGTAATAATTTTTACTGAGATTAACCTTCTACAGTGGAACCTTACTTGTTGACTACCACACATCTTTGATGCTGTAAAGAATAAACAGAATCTTTAGTTATTAGCTGGAATGAGTTTATTTTCTTCAAATAATGAAATTCTCTCCCTTTGGGGCTTTGATGAGTTTTTAATCTGCAGTGTAATTCATAGCTACATGCATGTAATTCATGTATGTTTTTGAAAGGCATTCCCTCACTCCAGATTAAGCCAACTCTATTAGATTTAGCTGCATAACAATTGGGTGATTTTCTGACACTGGTAATGCAGACTAAAGCCATCAAGCTAGAAATAGGTCTTAAGGAGTTCCATAATTTTCCCGGGACAGAACAGACTAGACAGTTTTTCCAGGACATGGGAGAATGATTAATGATGATACTCCACTGAGACAAATGGCTGAGCATAGTGTACACGCTAAGTGAAATCTTGGATAAATATTCTACTGGTAAGTAGTTAAAGTAAAAAGCTCAGAAAGAGTCCATCTGGATGCAAGATAATTTGAAGATAAGTGAATCAGGAGGATGAAGAGGTTAAAGTGAAGAAATGGTGGTTGAAACTCCTGAGAAAGAAGAGGAAGCAAAGAGCCTCAGTTATGAAGACAATTTTCTTCAGTCACAGGGGACAATTTAGGAGGAAAAGTGAAGGGGACTCTGAACACCAAGGAAGACACAGCTACTGCTCACATTTCTTAAATTCATGCCGTGAAAATCCTTAACATCTCAAGGTCTTACTTATTCCTTGTTAATTCTGGAGATCAATAATATATTGCTGAGTACATCTTCAATCTATAAGATGCACGTACAACTGTACCAACATATTGTACATGTCATAAAATATACTGAAAATGTAAAGAAGATTAAAAATGAATAAAAATATGAGTGTCTAAAATGTATAAAGTGGTGTCTTCTTTCTACCTTAAAAATGTCTTGACCACCTCTGGAAGATCCTATTTACAGACTACTGATCTAGATCTCATTGGAAGTGTTCGTTGGCTTGCTATTTGAATAGTTTATTTTTCCCCAAGCTCAAAAACATAGACCACCTCTGGAAGATCCTATTTACAGACTACTGATCTAGATCTCATTGGAAGTGTTCATTGGCTTGCTATTTGAATAGTTTATTTTTCCCCAAGCTCAAAAACATGCAGTCTTTGTATCTAAAACTGAACCAAGTTCACATAAAAGGGTACATGCCTTAAGGAATATAGTCAAAATATTGTAACAACTTTGTATGGTGATAGCTGGTAGCTAGAATTATCATGTATATAAATGTTGAATCACTGTGTTGTACAGCTCACCTGAAACTAATGTAATACTGTGTGTCAACTACCCTTCAATAAAAAATAATTATCTACAAAAAAAAAAAAAAGGGTACATGCTTGTCTGCTTCCTCTAGAAGGTGCCACCCCTGGCTGCCATGACAGCTGGGCCATTAAATGCAAGATCAATATATATATAATAGAGGAGAGGGAAACATTCTCTCTATCTCCACCTCTAGTTTTTAGTGCCTCTATGTGGTGTTTTATTGACTTAAATTCATAGTATGTAATTCCAATCTAAGCAGTAATTTCAGATAGCAGTTAGTACTACAGCCAGTCTTTTTTGGGTCTATTCAAAGTAACACATGTAAGACCTATACCAAGTGGCCTTTCAGTAATCAAAAGTGGTTCCTATAACTGCCATTTCAAATACATTTTATTATCATCTTGGGGAAAGGCCAGAAATGTACAACTGGCAATTTACCTTTGGAGCACTGGACAACTGGCCTGAGCAGCTAAACCAGGGGAACCCGCAGCTTGTGCGGCAATGGCCACCTGCTTATGACCAGCGCAGGCCCTTCCTTCCTCCCAGGCTCCTCAGCTGTTCAAAAGCAATCCTTTTCTAATGTCTTGTGGGGCGTGACCAAGTGTCTTGCTTTCTTTCCAGGAGCACTGTTCTCCCGAATCAGCACCTGACTCGGTCGCTGCCCAGGTGAGTTCCTTGCACTGCAGACACTAAGAAAACACCCGCTGACCGAATGCCAAGACCCGCAAGTGTACGTCATCTCAGCACTACTCCAGAAGCGAATTGTGTCGGGGGTCCCTCTGCAGTATCTCTATATCTTTAGTGCTGCCAAGTTACATGTAATTTTTTTTTTAACTTAATGAGCTAGTCTGAGAAATGTAAATGTTTGGAAAGGAAGAAACAGATAAATGAGATCAATGAGTTCACATTGTACAATAGAATATGAGAACCATCACATATATGTAAAGCTATATTACTGGTATCTGTGCATCTGTGTAAAGTGTCTATGAACAATTGTAATTAATGCTTTTAAATGGACACATGTATTTCTTATATCTTACTTTGTTTTAAATGTACTCCTTATTTGTGCTCCTTGGACATATATATCAAATAGACCACCCACCTTAAAACAAGGTCCTCTCCTGCAGAAGCCAGATGATTGTCATTTATGAAAGTATGTCAAGGAAAGATGACAGATACATAGGGTCCCGTAGCTCAGTCTGTTCCCATCCCCCTGATGAGAACTCCTCCACCCCAATCCAATAGCATCACTTAGCTCAAAAATGTAATGGAGCCTATTTTTGTTACTATATTTCTAGTAAAGACTATCTGATCAAGAATAACCAACAATAAAATGTTAAAGCCCATGGAATATAGAGTCAGAACATAAAATGCCAATCCAATACCATCCTTCCGTAAATGACCTGGGTTTGTTTTTTAGCCACAATGCAAAGGAAGGAAATTTCTTCTCACCTCCTGTGGAGAAGGTCGTGGGAAGCACGGTCACGGAGACATTGTCAGAGCTTCTCTGGCCGGCAGTGTCCATCACAGTGAGCTGAAAGGTGTACGTTCCTTCCTGTAAGTGGGACAGTTTCAGGGTTCCTGGTTGAGGGACCTGAAACCCACAGAGGAAACATCATATTAGGTTGGGAGACCTGAGGTATGGAGTCCAACATCATCCTGACCTGGGAATCAGTGTCATCCCTGGAGCAGTCCCATGACCCACCTCTCCACTCCTTGCCCAGGGCTGGGGAACACTAAAGCATACACTATTTTGGCAGGTTGGCCCTACTTCAAATTCAGAATTTCCAGTTTTACCTGGGTTGACAATATCCTTGACTGACAACCCTTCACTTGTCCTTGGCAGTCACTGTTCCAAACCTGCGCCTCCTCTACATTCCGCACCCAAGCTCCACACTCAATATCTAGTCCCTTCCTTCTCAGCAGGTGACCTCATCTACCCCAAAAAGAAAATCACGACCATAATTACGGTTCTACCTGTGGCTCCACCACTCACACTATCCTGGGACTGTACCTGTATCTGTTCCCATCACCACCTCCTTTCCCCTAGCCACAAGATGAGCTGTCCCTCTTGCACCCTTTCATCTAAGTCCTTGACCCCTTTCCTCTTTGACCTTCAGAACACTGGCTTATCAATTAATTTCTCTTTGAAATGGCTCTGCTATTACTATGCTCAAGTTTCTCTTGCCCTAAAAAACAAACAAAACAACAGCAAATAAAAAACTCCCTACACTCCAGCATCTCTACCCACAGTATGATCTCCTTTCGATTTCAACTTCTTGAAAGGATTGGCCATGACACACTTGCTGTTTCCATCTGCTCATTTTCCATTTATTCTTTATCCCAACCCACTAGCTTCTTCACTTAACACTCGCCTGGCACCACGCTGGTGAGACCCACTAACTGACCTAGCAAAGGACCCCTAGTTGTCAAGGTCATCAAGGTCTTATCTCCCTTCCCCTACCCCCACATTGGTCCTCTCACTGTACTTAACAATGCTGGCCACTCCTGCCTACTGGAACACTCTGTTTCTCTGGCTTCTGTTTCTGTGTCCAAGTTCCCCCCTTCATGGACTTCACTCCCTACACCCAGAGCTCTATCTTGAACTTTGGCTGTCCTCATGCCATTTTGCAGGCAGCTTCCTGATCATGGCCAGAGTAATAGCTTCTGAAGCCCAGTTCTGCCGTGTGATTTTGGCAGTCATTTTCATGCTCAATCTAGCAACTATTTTTTCAGCCCTCTCAATGAGACTATTAACTGTTTAATATCCTATGGGGGGAAAAATCCTTTTCTGCTTAAATGAATTAGTTTGGCTATTATTCTCTACAAATGAACTCTGACCATTATGTATTATAGTACACTGATGCATTAATAGACTTGGAAGTGTAGAGTTGCCCTATTATAACTATTATCTGCTTATTTGTATTTATGAAATCTTAGAATTTGACTATTGCATACAACCTTGGCTGAGAGAATTAGTCAGTACTACATACACCCATGGGAGTGATGCTTTATAATCAGTTAGAGGCAATATAATGGGATACAGTGGTTGTCACACTGTAGGCTGCTCAAGGGTCACCTAGACCTCCTATTCAGGTATAAAGATTTCTCAGTCCTAGCCTCAGAGTCTTACCCAGTGGTCTGGAGAGTGGGATCTGGGAATCTACACATAACAAGTACACCCAGGTGATCCACTGATCACACCGGAAGAAATGTAGGTGAAGTGGTTAAGAGCCTGGTGTTCGACAGACCTGGGTTTGAACTCCAGTTCTACCACATACCAGCTGTGTGACCTTGGACAAGTCTTGCGACCTAGCTAAGCCTTAGTTTCTTCATCTGTAAAATGGAAGTAAAAATAGCACCTACCTTACAAAGATCAAATGAAATAACCATGTAAAAAGAGCTTGTTATAGGGCTTAAGTGTAATATAAATTATATATATAAAATAAAAATTTATTTTTTAAATATAAAAAGAGATTTAAATGTCTAAATACATCCACTATCTTGGTTAATTCTCATCTCAAGCTGCACAACAGAGAACATGAAATCTCCACGAAGTGACTTTCATTCACTGAGACAGGGATGGAATTAAGATCTCAAGGTGTAAAGCAGTCCATGATCTGTCCCACTGCTTGCTTTGCAAGAGCTTTAAGCTGGAGAGATGGCATAGAAGGGCACCAGTCCCTTGTTGTTTGTTTCAAAGAGATGATAAGCAGTATTCACTGCCATAATGTTACGTTACCTTCAGGCCCAGCTACGAGAGAATACCAAACAGGGTCACTTATGTGAGCACTGAAATACTCCCTACAGGCTAGCAGGGAGAAGCTGAAGACAGTAAGGTAACTGTAAAAGAGCCTGGCACAGGCAAGTGATCCTCAGATACAACAAAATGCTGAGGTGAAAGTCGTAGTCAGTCTGAGAACCATGAGAGAAGATAGGAGATTTAGATGAATAAGATTTAAAATGAGACGAGAACCATGGTTTGAGATCTCAGGGTCATATTTAACCCCTCTTTTATGTCACATTCCACATCCAATCCATCAGGAATCCCTGTTGGCTCTACTTTACAAACACACCCAGAATCTGGCCGCTTCTCATTATGTCCACTGTGACCTTCCTGGTCTGAGCCCATCTCATCTCCTGAGTCACTGCTGTGGTCGGGAGACCCAAGCTCCAGTGGGGTTGGGTCTGGCACCCCTTTCTTCTGGATAATTCCCCTTCCAACTCTGTCCACATGATTGCACGGAGAGAGTCGGTTATGATCTCTCCCTATGGCTACATGGGTACAAGGCTGAGCCAAGGGGAACCAATGATAGCGTAAGGGGCAGGTCTAAGTCAACTCGACAAGGCTGGTGGGGCGCGGGGCAGGCTTTCACTCTAATGGTGCATCAGAGTCAGGCAAGCCCTGCTAGGTGGCAGCAACGCATTAGGTAACGGCACTACTTCTTGCTTCTTGGGACTGAGGACACATGGGTGTACAAAAGCAGATCAGGACTATACTTCAAAGGCCTTACGTGAGCCCTGCAGTCTTAAAGAAGGTGCTTTGAGGCACAGAAGCTCTGTCCTACGTGGTCTGCCTGAACGCAAACGAGAAGACCAAGATGGCTGAAGGCCAGCAGCGGCAGGTCTCACTGCTCCAGCTAGGTAGAGGGGATGATAGACTGTAGGATTGACCAGAGTGGGGATTTGTAAGGTATGTGGCCACTGCTGAGTGTGGCCAGTGGGGTCAGGTGGAGATGAAGTTATTGGAGATTTTAAGAGACCAGGGAAGCCATGAGGTGAGGTTGCTGGATGGACCATCCACATGGAGTCACCACCCAGGCCTGCACTGGAGCTCCCTGGGTGTCAACAGTCAGCACGCCACGGCAGACTGAAACTCTGTGGACTTGGGGTTTGCGGGGAAGCCTCTTTGCAGTGCTGTGGCTGGAAGGACAGAGCATCCCATCCAAGGGCACAACCATCCACCTGGGCTTTGGATGCCTCATTCTGCCTTCCTAGGCTCCTCCTCCTCCATGCAGGACACACCAATCCAGATCCAGACCATGGAAACCACCTTAAATGTCCTAGGAGCTGATAAATTTAGATGTATTCAGATTAAATATCCTTTCCTTGGTTCATTTTATTTATTTAGCTAACAAAGGGCATCTTTCCTCGAAATCAGTATTTAGGACATGTTGACCTGTAAGATGGGTATTTTCCCTTCAAGCACCCAGTTGATCCTTCCAGGCATCTCCTTACATTTATATGACATTGGGAAGGACTGAAAGTATTTTTAAAACTTTTCACAGTGTCAGAATAAAAAATATATGTATATGTAGGAGAGGAGAAGGAGAATAGGACAAATATTATCACCGTCCCAGCCACTGTTCCATCACACAGGACAACATTCCGTGGGAAGATGAGCTGATCTTGACACCTGGCTGTACTGCATAGTATCGACAGACCAATGATTAGCACTGTTCCCTTCCTGTTTCTTCTCCTACTGCCCTGCCCTTCTTCCTAACTAGGGAAGTTTATAAAAGCAAGTTTTTGCACAGACCACTGGGCAATTGTCCTCTGAGGAAAACCAAACCTGATTCTCATTTTAAATGGATATTGATTATCTGGTCCTAGGTTATTATAAGGAGAGAATACACATTGAACTTGAACACTCTAAGACATGTCCAAAAGTTTTGCACTGCGTAATGTGGATCTTTTCAACCTGACATGTTCAAGTCAACATGAGTCCTACTGTCAAAATGTTAAGGTTACAGGACCCTCATGTGTACAGTCTTCTCTGATCTCCCTCAGCTAGGTTATAATCTCTTCCTCCTCTGAATTCCAGTAGCATTAAATCTACTTTCTCTTACAGCCTTGCCAAACTTTCTACTTGGTGTTCTTGTTAGTTAGGTGCATGTCTAATCTCCTCAACTGGAGGAGTCAAGCTATTTGAGGGCATTATCACCTACAAATTTTTCAGAGTGCCTTACTCATTGCTCTTTGCTATTAGAATGACCTCATAATTGATTTTTTATTTGTTTTATACATTTTTTATTTGTTTATATGCAAGTAAATCTATTCCAATTGTGCTTGAGTTAAACTATTGCTCAAAAGAGACTCCAAAAATGTTTTACATCCTGAGATGTTTACAATTAACTGTAATAGTTACCTCTCCTTGTGTGTTCATTTAATGCTCTGTAATATGCTAAGTGCTATAGTTGCAGTTTCCCATTTTAACCCTCACAGGAACCTACCAGGTACAATCATCCTTTTTATAATTGAGGAAGCACTTGTGTGTTCATTTAATGCTCTGTAATATGCTAAGTGCTATAGTTGCAGTTTCCCATTTTAACCCTCACAGGAACCTACCAGGTACAATCATCCTTTTTATAATTGAGGAAGCTGAAGTTTAAAGAATGAAGTGATTTTTCCCAAGTTCATCCAGGTAGGGAATTATAAAACTGGGTCTGAACCCAGGTCATCTGATTCTAAATCCCATGCTCATAGCCATTTCTGGATCCTATATCCTGATCAGCAGAGTAAGACCTTACTGTTCATTGTTTCAAGAATCATTTCTTAAAAAGAACCCAGGCACAGCTTATACCCAACCCAAGC